ACTCTACGCTGTGATTTCTTGTAATCCTGTCTACTGTCTTCAGTCCTTTCTACGTCCCACTTCTTTTTAGCTAGCCTCTTCCTCTGAATGCTGTCCTGTACTTCCTTGTTCCACCACCATGTTTCCTTATCTTCTTTCCTCCTTCCAGATGACACACCTAGCACCTTCCTACCTGTCTCCCTGATCACTTCTGCTGTAGTTTCCCAGTCATCTGGAAGTTCTTCCTGACCACCCAAAGCCTGTCTCAACTTCTGTCTGAATTCCTCACAACATTCTTTCTTTTGCAACTTCCACCACTTGGTCTTCTTTTCTGTCTTTCCTCTCCTCTTCTTCCTGACCACCAGTCATCCTACACACCACCATCCAATGCTGTCTGACTACACTTTCTCCTACCACCACTTTGGAGTCACTAATCTCTCTCAGATTGCCTCGTCTACCTTACGTCTACATAGAATATAGTCTGCCTGCGTACTCCTACCTCCACTCTTATATGTAACTGTGTTCCTCCCTCTTCTGGAAATAGGTGTTAACTACAGCCATTTCCATCCTCTTAGCAAAGTCCAGGTTCCTTCCCTTAACACCAAACCTGCCCATCACCTCCTCATCACCTTTGTTCCCCTCACCAACGTGCCCGTTGAAGTCTGCCCCAATCACCACTCTCTCCCCTCTGGGAATACTCTCCATCACCTCATCTAACTCACTCCAGAATGTCTCCTCTTCTAACTCACACCTTACTTGTGGAGCATAACCACCGACTACATTCAACATTACCCCTTCAACTTCCAACTTCAAACTGATCACCCTGTCTGACACTCTTTTCACCTCTAAAACATTCCTCACGAGCTCCTCCTTCAGGATCACTCCTACCCCATTTCTCTTCCTGTCCACACCATAATAAAACAGTTTGTATCCCCTCCAATGCAACGCACTTTGCTACCCTTCCACCTGGTCTCCTGCACACACAGTATATCTACCTTCCTTCTCTCCATCATGTCCACCAGCTCTCTACCTTTCCCTGTCATTGTGCCAACGTTAAGAGTCCCTATTCT